CCCTGAGATCTCTGGGGCTCACACAGGATCAAGAAGAAAAAAACACCTGGTGGGAGGAAAGACTGCAAAGTCTTCAAGCTTTACCTGTGGGGAATCTTCTCCATAAGAACACATTTCATACCACCAGTCTTTTACCATACAGCCTCCAGAAACAGACACTGAACATCCAAATTTCCCTGTTACAAGAAGGAAAAATTCACCAATTTGAATGCCCAAGACTTCAAAAGTCACCTCATTTAGTATTTACAGTCAAGGTCATAAAGCTACTAAGGTTCTTATCAGCAGTGGTCCCAGGTATACTAATTGGTAGCCACTTTTCTTCCCTATTGTTATATTCCTAATGCCTCCTGTCAATAACTTATGCTTAAATTTTCTGATGAACAACAAGAAAACGGCCTCTGAAGTGAAAGAAGGGAATAGCCTTTGGCTTGGCCTGTGGACTGAGAAATGTCCAAGGACCCCAGGGACTCTCTGTACATAGAAAGCAACAATATTTGTCTTTGAGTTGAAGTAATAGCTTACAAGAAATGTGCCTGGAATTCAACAGTGCTTCCCAGGGTGCATGATACTATTCCTAAAAGTGAATGCCCACATTCTGAGCAAGTAGTATTTTCTGGATGGAGGTATTCTCTTCTCTGATACTGTATTTATAAAATTAATGGCCCTATATTATGTGAGGTAGGTAGCAATAAGAATATGTACAACTAGGACATCCCTGAGCTGGTTAACTTGTGAAAAAAAAAAAAAAAAACCACGGGAGGTAGAGGGTTCAAGGAAATTTGATGTTACTGCGCTCTCTCAGTCTATTTGACTTAACCATCTTGTGGCTGTTCTGGTTGGTTTGGATTTTTCTGGATATCAACAATTTCTCTTGATTTTAGCAGAATTTGGCTTTGCTTCTGTGATTTTAGCATATTTTATCCAAATCCTCTTCTCTGTGTACATTTTCATAGGAATTTATAAATAAAGATTTTAATTTTTTTCAGAGCCAAATATGGGTAAAGCATTCTTCTTTGTAACATGTAATTAACAAATAATGAGAAATTTATGTTAGAAAAATGGATGGTTGAGTGGGTGAGAGAATTCAGTTGATTCTAACACATCTTGTCAGTAAGGCTTCATAGGTCCAAAAGCCAAGAATAATGGTCAGGCTCAGCTATACAATAATTTTGACCATAAAAGTGTTTGATAACTTCTTTATGTCATGTTAATGATGGTAATCTGTTAATAATACATTGATTTTTCTGTTGCCTAATTTTCTTCTTTTCCCTTCATTTTTAGAATCAATCTCTCTCTCCTCCCCACCACCCCTCTAATAAGCCCTCATACAATTCTTCTGTCTTGGAATAGCAAGTCTTTCCATGTGGTCTATTTCCATTGGATAAAGACTAGTAAATAAAATGGGGTTGGTTTATTGCTTGCCATTTCCTCAACAAGACTCCCTTCCTATGTTCCTTGCAATACAGTGCCAGGTCAATCACATTTATGGTTTTAAAAACAGGTACGTTATTAAGTGTGCAACGTATAGTCCAGAATTCTTTGGTTAAACTAGTCTCAGGTATTATAGCTACCACTAGAAGGGTCTCTGACCTTTCCACTGTGTTCCTCAAGTCTAACTTCACACCTGAATGAACCTGATGCCAGATTGGTTGGGCTCCCTCTGGCTCTGTGAGTTTCCATGGCAGCAGTTATCACAATAGCCCATAGCTGCATGGATACTATTGAGTATGAGAGGAACTAGGTCTTCATTGGGTTTGAGATTTCATCTTTTCCACTTCAGTTGGACATTTACCCCTTGCTTGGGTAAATTCTGATTTTGCATCGATATCATGACATAACTCAAATTATTATAATTATTTCATTAACATTATTGGGCTGGTGACATTAAATAAGTTAAATTTAAAAACTCTGGAAATGTATCCTCCACAAACCCTGATACCTGAAGATGCCAACAGACAATCTTGAGATTTAGAGAAATACTTCTGTGCTCTACTGGTCTAGCTCTAACAGGTCATTTATCTAAGGTTGTAGAAGGATTATAACTAAAAGACTAATGTTAACCTCCCAGCCTGGACAATTAAATCTGTACAATTTCAACCTTAAATTACATTAAAAAAAATTGTCAGTTTTTTTTTTTAAATTAAAAAGTAGCCACAATAACTCTAAAGTGATGCTAAACTTGCTTTTGAACCACCTTAAAAATACATGTTAGTAATCAGTTTAGGCAGAAGTGCTATAATAATTTTCCAACAGTTATGAGACTTTAGAAAAACTGACTTTAAAAGCAAAGTGAAAACTTGATTCAAATTTTCAAAAAAAAATTTTTTTAACAGTATCAAAACTTTCCAAAGCTTCCTATTTATGATAAAGCATTGCAAACCCTGTTCTCTATCACTGGATGCCCATAGCTGAAATTCTTTTTTTTTTTTAATTTATTTTTTAGTTGTAGGTGGACACAATACATTTATTTTATTTTTCTGTGGTGCTGAGGATGGAGCCCACTGCCTCACGCATGCTGGGCAAGCGCTCTACTTCTGACCCACAACCCCAGCCCTCTTCTTTTTGGCGCCCTCTTGAATATTGAGGCCTCAGCACTTTCTCTACATTCCTTCATTTTTCTGCTTACGGCTTCAGGAGGCTTGGGGCATTTGTTTTGTTCCTAGTCTCAATTACACTACTTCTTCCCTTCTTGGGCGGGACTGGGAACCTCATTCCTTTGGAAATTTAAAATCGCCGCAACTCACCGCTTGGCGGCGCCGACGCATCCTTTTCCGCCTGGAATGAAACTTCCCGGAACTCCTAAGTGAAAGGACGTGTTTCTCGCAGTTTTGACCGGCAGCATTTTTACGGAGCACGCCTCTGACTTCCTGTTTTCTCCTTCCTATCGCAACCATTACGTCTTCCGTGCACCGGAAGTGACCCTTGGGTGGGGGGGATTGCCCGGTCTAGCGAGTCAGGTGAGGGAGGGTGTGAGGAAGGGCGCGAGCCGTGTGTTAGTGTTCTTGAGTGCCTGCGAGTTTCTGGAGGTGGTGCAGTGTCGCTGTCTTTCCCTTCTCACTCGAGGCGTGGACTCTGCGGTTTCTCCCAAGTTGTTAGGTGGGAGTGTCACATTTGGGAAAGGGCGTCCGTCCCTCCCGGGCGCTCGCGGGTCTCCGGGGCACTTTGGCCTTTGCCAGCCGGGATGGAAGTAGTGGTTTTTGCAGCAGCACCGGGTTTCAGATTGTAGTCCTTTAAAGACACTGATATTTATTGAGCTCTTGCTGTGTGTTAGGCACTCTTAGGAGTCTAGAATATGGGAGTGAGTTAATCAGGCAATCTTTGCTTCGAGAGCTTGTGTTTCAATACAGTTTGAGAAGACTGGATTGGAAGTGGGAATAATTTAGAACCAGAGTTTAAAAATACGGGTTGGAGGAAGAGGAAATTAAGTGGGCTCGAAAAGAGGTTTCTGGAGGGGGAAGGGGATCCTCAAATGTGCAGGGATGTTGATGTGGGCGCAAGTTAGAAGTGCATGAAAATTATGAGTGCAGTTAGGAATTTAGGATAGTGAATATGTTTCTCTTGCTATAAGATGCAGTATTTAATTTATCTTTTTTTTTTCTTCAGGAAAAGCTAAGTTTAGATTGTAAGAAAAGAAAATAGAAGCCATGTTTCGAAGACCTGTATTACAGGTAGTCACTTTTCTGTATTAGTGCTAAACTGTACTTTTAACAGCCATAATGATCTGATTTCTGTAGGCTTTTGACTGCAGGGGCAAAAGACCTTTAAGTCTACCCATCACCTGTGTGTACTCACTGGACAGGGAAGTTCAGAAATGAATTTTGCCATGTAAATAATGTTTACTAAAACAAAAAATTTCAAATTTATTCACCTATGTAATAAGAATCATTAATTTTTAAAATGTGTAACTTGAATATAGATCAGAGAGTATTTAAGGTTTTAAATGATACAAGGACTATAACACATTGTTTCAGCATTTTTTTCTATGAGACATATAGTTCCTTTTCTCACCATCTATCTCCTTTTACTAAATGCTTCCCTCTTATCTTCTACAGTGAGGACTGCTCAACTCTTTGCATCACCACAGATTCACATTGCCTACCTTCAGTCTCATTCTGAGCAATTTGGCTCCTTATCTATCCCCTCATCCTGGCCATCTTTGAGTCATATTACCTAGATTACCACTTTTCCTTACCACATTTGGGTACCAAGTCCTGTAGATTCTCCTTAATAATACCTCTATGACTCCTCATCTTCCCATTAAGTCTAGTGAAGAATCAGTTCCTCTATGAAATCTATTGACATCTTTGACCAATTGTCAGTTTGATTTTATAGTCTTAGATCCCCACTTTAACTTATAGGTACTTCTAACCTTTTAAGATTATGTGAAACATGGAAAAGTTATTGCTAGTTGGGTACAGTGACTGAGTCCTATAATCCCAGTTACTTTGGAAGGCTGAGGCAGGAGGATTCCAGGTTTAAGGCCAACCTTGGCAATTTATTAGGACCCTGTCTTAAAGAAAAAAAAAAAAAAGTGCTGGGGGTGTAAAGTGCCCCTTGTTTCAATTCCTAATACAAAAACAAAAGAAGTTACTACTGTCTTGCTATCTTGATAGTACTTAGTACTATAGTATTAAGATATCTTTAAGATCAAATATTCAGAAGTTAAAATTTAATTTTAAAAGTCGTATACAAGTTAATATTTCCCTATTTCTACTTCTTTAGTTGTTCTTAATTTTCATCTGTGCCTAATGTAAGACATTGTTATTTTTTAAGATTTATGAGTTTGGGCTTCTCTGACCACTTAAATTAGTATATTGCTATGCTCATGACACAGTTACTAGTTAGCAGTTTGAGTCTCTAGTATGTTGTAACTTACTGTGTTTGTTTTCTTATCCACCTTCTATCCTAAAATTTATGATAGGCTTATATAGCTCACAGCACCCAGGAGTGGGTATTCATTTGATGGTGTTCTTCTGCTTTTTATATTAACAGTACTGCTGCTTGAAAAATGTTTCTCTGATAGAATGTCTAGCTCTCTGAATTCTGCATCCAGTGATGTATATTCCTACCTTATGAAGGTAGGAGTAAAGGTAGGGCTATACCTTGAACAAAGTATCTTTGAGGCAGCAGAGGACAGTGGGAAAATCAGCAACCTTGTTATTAGACAACCCTGGATTCTAGTCATTACTTACCACGTATTTCATACAAGATCTGGGGTAAGTTCCTCACTCTGAGCTTCAGTTTACTTGGGTCTAAAGTGGGGATAATTTTACATAATTTATATATTTAGTTTTAGGGTTACTTGATAAGGTAAAGCTCTTTGTTGGTATTCAGTAATAATATCTGTGATTAACTAATATGTGGCAGTGGCTACTCTTTTCTGATGACTCTGTGACTTGGATAACTATATCTTTGTACTTAACCATGTTTGCTTATCTTATGTCATTTTCCTTGATAACACTGAAAACATGAAGTTTTCCATCAGATATTTATACAGCTTTACAACTGGCCAAGTCCACTATAGAAGCTGTGTGGTTTTTTTCCCAATAGTCTTGTGAAGCAGATGTTCATCATCATTTTTGCTAATTTTTAAGTGAGACACATTAGGCTAATCATGTTTGAGTTATCTCCTATAGGGAGCCTGACTTTGGAACCTATCCTTTTGTATATCCAAAAGATATTCATGTAATGAATATATGGATTTTTTTTTTTTTTTTTTGGTTCTGGGGATTGAACTCAGGGGCACTCAACCACTGAGCCATATTTCAGTCCCTTTTTTTGTATTTTATTTAGAGATAGGGTCTCACTGAGTTGCTTAGGGCTTTTGCTAAGTTGCTGAGGCTAGCTTTGAACTTGCAATCCTCCAGCCTCATCCTACCAAGCTGCTAAGTATTATAGGTATGTGCCAGTGTGCCTGGCTTTGGAATGTATTGTTTTATTTATTTTGGAGTTTAACCTATTTTTCATTCTCTGTTCTTGTGGCTAAGAGTGAGACTTAAGTAATGACATTGTTTGTATTACATATACCCTAACAGTAGTTTGATAATTACTTTTTATGTTATTAATGAGTATTTATAAATACATTAATTATAAAGTACTATTCCTTTTTCTCCTCTCCTTTGGTCTAATGATGTACTGAGTCTGTACCCATATTAGATAAATCTAAGTTTCTTAATTTCTAAATTGTGTATTCAAAATATAAATAATATACCATTTATTTATTTATTTTTAAAAAGTCAATCTATTCTTTTGAGTGTAAAAAGTAATTTTTGCTTTTTTCTATGTTTCCAGCTAATGAAAGCTGGATTTTTTTTTTTTTTTTGGGAGCAACTCTTGGGTACAGATTAGATTTACAGTTACTGTCATGCTTTCCTTTGTGGAAGACATACAATTTTGATTTTATGTTTCATGTGCAAACATAGAAATGCCATAATCACAAAGATTACCACAAAAGAAACAGAGGACTATAAATTAACTCTTGGGCATGTTCTCTACTACCTTCTTCATACCTGTGGCTTCTGTGGTAGGCTGCTCCAGAAGTGTTTGCTTGGTCTTTCTGGCTTTGTATGTTGAAAGAACATGGGAAAAGCTTTTCTCTTCTGGAACTCTTCGAAACTACTGCCTAAGTAATGAACAAATGTGAGCAGGTCTTCTGTTTGCCTTTGCCTTTTCTAAAAAAGTAAAGCCATGTTGCTTGTTTGTTCATCAGGTACTTCATCAGTTTGTAAGACATGAGTCTGAAGTAGCTAGCAGTTTTGTTCTTGAAAGATGTAAGTAGCCATTTTCTAAGTTTGCAGTGTTACTTATGGTACTATTCTTGTATTCTCAAAGTGATGTAGAAGAGATGTGCTGGGTTAAACTGTGTTAACCATTATGACTTTGGCTGTATTTGCTTCTTAGGTTGCTTGCCCCATCAGGCTGTAAGGCCCCTTCTTTTCTTTCTTTCATTTTTTTTTTTTTTTTTTTTTAAATAAATTGGGCCTTTGTTTTTGTTTTTTTAAACTGGGGATTGAACTCAGGGCCGATTGACCACTGCCTCACATTCCCAGCCCTACTTTGTATTTTATTTAGAGACAAGGTCTCACTGAGTTGCTTAGCTCCTCACTTTTGTTGAGGCTGGCTTTGAACCCTCAATCCTCCTGTCTCAAGCTGCTGGGATTACATGCAAACACCACCGCACCTGGCAGGGCCCTTCTTATCAGCCAGATACTACTCACTCTTGTTATCACTGTCCTGCTGGACGATTTCTCATATTTGGTTGTCTGTGTCTTCTAAGGTTATTTTAAATTGTGAAAGATACTATTTCACAGAAATATTCCTTTTTTTTAATAAAGGTTTTTAAATTTCAGATTTGTTTTAGTTCCACAGACAGTTCTTTTAAAAAAGGTACTATACATAAGATAAAGAATTTGAATTTTTTTTTTTTTTTTTTTTTGTGGGGCTTCTTTCTGTTTTTTTCTTTTTTGCAATCCCTTTCCCCCGCTGCCAATCTTCCTTTATTGGTCCCTTTAACTTAGTATGTTGACTGCTAGTATTTAGGTTTTACTTAATTCAGAGATTAAAGTTGAAATGATATTTTTAACTGTTCCTTTTCTAGATAATTCTCTCAATCTGAGGTGTTTAGATTTCTTTAAATGTCAGCTTCAGCTGACATAATGAATTATCACAGAGTGGGTGGATTAAACAATAGGCATTTATTTTTCACAGTTCTGGAGACTAGAAGTCCAAGATCAGGGTGCCAGTATGGTTGGGGCCTTACTGGCCCCTTGGTGAGGGCCTTATTCCTGGCTTGCAGATGTGTTAGCTTCCTTACTGTTTTCACATGGTAAAGTGAGCAACTCTGGTCTTTTCCTCTTATAAGGGCATAAATCCCATCATGGAGGCTCCCTTCATCACCTTATCTAAACCAAATCAATCACATTGGGACTTAGCACTTCAAGGTACAGATTTTGAGGTGGGTACAGCAGTTTTTTCAGTCTTATTTTATTTCCTTTTTCAGCTCTGAATCGTGTGCAGTTACTTGGGCGAGTAGGTCAGGACCCGGTCCTGAGACAGGCAGAAGGGAAAAATCCAGTAACAATATTTTCTCTAGCAACAAATGAGATGTGGCGATCAGGGGAGAGCGAAGAATACCAAATGGGTAAGTATAAAAGCCTGGGGTTTTAATTTTATCATCAATAAGTAGAAATTATTTATTGCCAGTTATCTTAAATAGAGATAAGCTACTTTCAGACAAGGTTTATCTTTTCTCATTCTGTTGTTCTTTTAAAAAGTTGTGAGTTTGATTTTCCTGGGCATGTTGTCCACTGGCATTTGTTTTGTCTGCTAGCATTGTAAATATTTCCTTTTCTTGTGATTTAGGTGACATCAGTCAAAAGACAACATGGCATAGAATATCAGTATTTCGGCCAGGCCTTAGAGATGTAGCATATCAGTATGTGAAAAAGGGGTAAGTTACAAAAGGAAGGGTCTTTTGGATTAAATGATTTAAAGAACCAATAATAACAAGTGTTGTCATGGCAAGGAACATGTAACAACTCCTTTGTTCTTGAGCTCTTATATTAAGAAGTACTGTACATTTCTTAATACTATATGTGTGGAATGTAGCTATGTGTGTGACTCATTCAAAGGCATGTAAAATCTTTAGTCTTCTAAGAACTTATATTTTAGGGCATACATAAGGTATGTATGTAAAAATACATACATACCTTATGTATGCCCTAAATAGCAGTAGATTGGGGCAGGAAATAAGACCAGTGCCTTAACTGCCACTGCAACATGTGCTTTTTGAACAACTGCAACAGGTCCTGTGCCTCTGTGATCAGGGATCCTGGAGATAGGTAGTGTCTTTTCTTCTTCGCATTCACATGACATTCCTAGCAGAGGATCTGGAATGTCTGAAGCCTGACACTGAGTTGTTATTCTCAGTATTTATTTTATATTTTGTAATTTTCTATAGATTTAGTAGTTCCCTTTGTAATGCTTAGATTAATTATCATAAAAATGTCTTTTCCAAATTCTCAGGACAAATGGATGTGTTTAACAGCAGTTACATTAATAGTTATGTTGTTTAGAAATGTACTTGTTTTGTAGAAATAAAACATTTAATAGAAATAATTTCAGCAATGATTAGAAATTTTGTCAATAACAGCATACCTTTTCTTCATATGTATCTCCGTTGTCCTTCTTGTGTGTGCACGTGTACACATACAAATATGTAAGAGGATATTTCAAGGAAAATGTCAACATACAATTTTACCTACTGATTCATGAATCTGCGTGTGTGTATGTTTTCTTTGATATCCAGTCATTTCACTTGTTTTGTCTTCTTTCTATATTTTGCTTCACTTTTCTGGTGATGGTGGACTCTTGAGAACTGGTGCTGTCATAGTAATTTTCTGCCTTTTAAAATCACGGTTATGATTGTCATCTAGCTCAGTCTTCTATATATATATAGTGTAGAAATTGTCTTAGTAATTGACTCTGAGTGATATGCCAAACTGAAAACCTCAATTTTGAGTTTTAATAATCTAAGCTCCTTAGAAGTAAAGTCATCAATTTCACTATAGAAGAGAATTGATAAATGAGTTAAAATCAGCATATCTGTTAGGAAGTCTAAACCCAGAGGTTAAGTAAAATCACATTTTGGAAATCAGTCCTAGAGATTAATAGATGCCCCTAAATTGGTCTTATGTCTTTATAATCTTAAGGCTACCTCTTTTTTTCTTTTAATTTTGTCTTAAGATTTAATTTTTTTTTCCAAAAACTCCTATAAAGAAAATAGCTAAAGGATGAAAACATTGTTTTTTACATATCAAGTCTGTCTATACTTTGTTTCTGTACTCTTAATTTTGAACTTTAAAAAGTGATAGAAAAAATGGAATTATGTGTAATTACAGATTTAATTATTAGTAAGTATTCATTACCACTCCTGATCTGACTCTTTGTAAAGCATGTTAGAGTTTCCAGAATAAAAACTGTGAATTATTTATAACAGGTCTCGAATTTATGTGGAAGGAAAAATAGACTATGGTGAATACATGGATAAAAATAATGTGAGGCGACAAGCAACAACAATCATAGCTGGTAAGAACCTTGTGATAATAACGTTTTTTTCTCCTTTAAAAGCTTGACTATGGGCTGGGGTTGTGGCTCAGTGGTAGAGAGCTTGCCTATATGTCTTAATTCTTTGTTTAATGACAGATTTCCTTTTGTCTTCCTCTTTCTCTTTGCTCTAGAGTTCATGTCTTAAAAACATGTTGATATTATAATTTGTTATAAATAATAATTATATTTACTTACTAGTAAGTTTATTGGAAAGTAAATTGACTTTGAAAACCAGCATAGGTATTTTCCTATCCTCTTTTATTTTTTATGATAAACTAAATTTGTGAGTAAACTTTAGATTGTTCAAACTCTTGGGTGTTATGAACCAGCAAAATAGAAGCATTTCAGATTATCTTTTGATTTTTTTCTTGTCATCAGTTGTCATTAGCATGATCAGTTAAGTATATGTTGATGACTGATAGTAAATATGAATAGAACTTCATTTCTGTTTGAATTTAAGAAAACAGTTTAATTTGGTCGACCTCTTTTATAGGCCATATTTTTTTTTCCTTAGGAATCATACCGGAACTTAAAAATAGCCACCAGTGGATGGCACTGTTGGCTTTTTTAGTGATTTCAGTTCTTATAATCTCTTTCTTGACTTACCATTCTATACCTAAGTATTCTATTTTGGAAAGACTGCAGTTATGAAGTCATGAACAGATATTGTAAATATAGGTCATTGTATAATGTCTACTTTGTGGATAATTTTATAGTTATAGGAATCTGAAATTTTTGGAGTTATGCAGGAGATAATGCTTACCTATTTTCCCTTGTTTGCCCTTAGCTAACTCCCTGTGGAATAGCATTGCAGAGTAATGTCTGATATTTTCAGATAAAAATGCTTATTTCTATAGTAATTATTGTAAAGCTTTCCCCCAAATGGGTATATAAAATCATTCTGTCTTAAAATTAAGAACAAAATTTTTCTGTGAGTTTTTGAACTTACTTAAAAACATATCTGCAACACTAACAAGGCCACATGGGAACCTTTTCCTTTCTTCATACCTAGCATATGAAATGATGTGCATTGGTCCTTTTCTTTGTGAGGATGTGCTGTCTGGTGTCATGGCCTCTGTTGAACACAGCAGACATTCAAACTTGTGACCAGTTTTTTTTATAGAAAGTTTTTGTTGGGATGATTTTATCTTCTGTCTTCAGGAAAAACAGATACCTCAGCTTTTCTAACAAGGCGAATTGTTGAATAAACTGCCTGGGAAGCCCAATTTTTAGCTCTATTTATGCCTATTTAGTTAACTTTTCATGAATGCAGCAAAAGTTATTTAACATTTGGAAAACTTATTATAGCACTAAAGTATGTATATGTTAGAGAGGAATTATTAAGTGAAATGGAAAAGAGTTCTGAAATTAATATTTGTCTTTTGGCTTCTTTACAGATAACATTATATTTCTGAGTGACCAGACAAGAGAAAAGGCATAAAATGGATGATTCTTCTTTGACCATTGTTTGGTACAGTTCCCTTTCTGAATCATCTATAGTCTTTATAGTTTCTAAGGACAAGAATTAAAGTGCTCTTTTGTATAAATGAGTGGTAATATTTTTCCTGTTGCTGCCTCTCCCCTTTTTGTAGCATAAACATCAGTAGCCCCTGTCAATTTTTGTGTGTACTGGTTGTTTATTCTTTTATGAGTAGTTTCAAAATAGTGAACTTTGAGGTTCATTTACCTGTGTTATAACAAAAGGATTAATATATCCTTTGGAAGGCCTTCTGCTTTGGGGCACATTTCTATCACAGTATACTGTTCAGCCACTCAGCATATATTGAGCATTTCTGTATGTTAGACATTTATCCCATAGTTGTAAATGTCGACTTTCTCACCTATTTGCTCTACACATTTGAAAGCAAGTGCTGAATCTTCTCTGTGTACCTCTACTTTAACCAGTATGTAGCTCAGAAGAGCCACTCAATAAATGTTGACAGATGAATGATCCCAGTGGGATATTGACCTTTAGTTCAATTTGAAGGTGTTTGCTGAACAGTGGTTAGTGTCTAACCTAAAACTATTTCAAGAATAACCTATCTTCTTCACATCTCTTGCTTTAGGGCAGTTTAGTTGTAACATTTATGAGATATAGTTTACCAGCAGTAGAGCCCTGAATATAACTTGAATTGAAATAGTTTATCTCTAGATGCTCTGGTTTCATTATTCTCTGTTTCCAAGCCCCACTTTGGTATTCTTTTTAAAATCTCTTCTAGAGATTTTGATATTTCAGGGGGTGGGGTGAGGGTCCTTTTTTATTTATTTTTTATTAGATTCTGGGATTGAACCCAGCACTTTGCATCTGCTATTGGCAAGTGCTTTACCATTGAGCTAACCTCCTGACCTGAACTTGTGAGGGGGAAGTTCCCTCAGAAGTTTCCTTAGCTTTATCTTATCCTTGCTTATCCTTTCCTTAGCTTTAAGGGAGTTTCCTTAGCTTTATCCTAGCCTTGCCCAGGACAGTAGAAGGTTACTATTTCCTCCTATCAGCTGTCTTTCTTTCTGCAGCTGAAACCACTAATCACAGTATTAACTCTGATGTCTAAGCTCACACATTGATCTGTGTGGTAATATAATCATCATTCCTTTTTGCTACTATGTTCCTTAAGCAGCATTGAAAGTAGATAAAAATTATCCTTTGAGCAATGCTTTGTCTTCTCTCAGCAAAGCCAATTTTATATTTTTTCAATGTAAGAAGTTAGGCAGATTAGCATGTCTATTTAAACAAAATGATAAATCTGTGCTCTGGGAAAATCACATAATGAACAAAAGAGCCTAATTACCAACCCAGAGCATTTCTGATTCTAGGATTCAGTGGCATAATAGTGCATCCTTCAGGATCATCTCAGTGAGCTGAGGAGATCTTCTCCAAACTCTTCTGCTGGAAATTGCCTCTTACCCTTCTGTCCCTGAAAAACCATGAGGCTGAATCAACTTTCAGTCAGGTTGAGTCCCCTTCCTGCATATTGATTCTGCTAGATCCAGTTGTCCCTAATCAGATAGACTGGATCATAACCTCTGCCTTCCCCATCTGCTGAGAAACTTCCTATAGCTCTTACAGACTGTACGGGTCTTCTAGCCCAACTTCAGGTTTTTTAATTCCCTTTTTCATGGTGTGAAGGCCCAAACCTGCAGAAAATTGCCCTATGATTTTCATTTGGGGATTCCATGTTAAATGGAAAGATGAGCATAATATGTCAAAAAGTGGGAGAAAAAGTACCAAGCAACATGTGTGATGTTATCCCATATTTGAAAAGTTATAACTGAGTATAAGCTTTAAAAATTTTGGAAGGAGAAATATTGAAATGTTTTGATTACTTCTGGATAGGGATTTTATAAGTGTGGTTTTTCTTATTATATATGCTTGTGTGTGTATGTATTACAACATAAGCATATATTACTTTTATAATAGTAGTAATAAAAATATTTTCATTTTGGGGAAAACATCTTGTCATTATTTCGAAACCAGGCTTATTGTACTTACCAGTACTGCTTCATATACTGGAATGAACAAGAAAAACTTCCACATACTTTCCCAGTCATCTGTACTTTAGCATCTTATGCTCCTTTACTTTATCCACCTTTTAATAGTGTGTGTGCAACCCAAAAGGATGATTTTAAAGACCAGCACGTATGAAATCCATATTTACTGCCAGTACAATTCTTTTGAGTCATCATTTCTCAAAAAATTGTTATGTGATTAATGTTCAGAAACATCAAACACATTTTTTTCTGTGGCTTTTGTGGTATTACATATTGCTAAATGGGTTACAGTTTATCCTTTACAGCTCAGGAAAAAATTAATAGGTGTTTGCTTTTGTTTCCAAAAGAGATCATATAATTCTTGAAGGCAGGGTTATTTTATTCAAATTACCCTTTTGCCCCAATCTGTCTCAACCCAGCGCAGCAGCAACTTTGCATGTTTGTTGCTCAGTTGTAATGAAATATTAACGTGAAAATGAAGGCAGGATCACTTTATTTATTTTCTTTTATGGTTTGCATTATATACTGTGAAGATTGGGGGAGGTAGTAGGAAGAAAATCATTGTAGAAAATAAGCAGTTGGGGCTGGAGTTGTGGCTTGCGGTAGAGTGCTCTTCTAGCACTTGCAAGGCCTTGGGTTTGATCCTCAGCATCACATAAAAATAAAATAAAGGTATTGTGTCCATCTACAACTAAAAATAAAATATTTGAAAAAAGAGAAAAGAAAATAAGCAGTAATCCCCAGGGTTAATGAGAATGAGTTATAGGGAAATCTCTTAAGAGGTAACAATAATCATATTAATGGCTGACATTTCTTAAGTGCTTATTATGTGTTAGACACTACTTTTTATCATTGTCCCATTTAACTATTATCCTAAGAAGAAAGTACCGTTATCTCCATTTTACAGGTGAAAGTAAAAGGCAGGTTAAGTAACTTGTCAAAGCCATGTATCTTATGCATACCTGGAATTTCAGCTCAGGTATGTGACGTTTGCATTTGACTTTTGGCACTGTCTGCTTCGGTTTACACTGATAGGCTTCACTGGCCTTAATACCCACATTCTTCCACTGCTAACCTGAAGAATACCCTGTGCAGGGTATGTTGGAATCATACCAAGAGTCGAATAAACAATAGTTTTTGGTTGGGAGAAGAGTTTCAAGTAAAGGAGAAATACTTAAACCTTAGTCTTTCTGAGTCTTGGTCTGATGATCCTATGTCACAGTTAATATCTCTACCATGGCATCTTAGCATATTCCTTTTGCTTTCCTTGTATTGAGCAGTGTTTCTTTCCTGATTAGAGTAACCTCAGTTTGTTTCTTTCATTGTTTCCTAATTGAGAGTTTTAATTGTCAAGAATATTGTTCAGGGATTTTTCAAGTTTACTCTTTAGAGAATGAGAGTTTTGGCGTATTTGGCAGGCATTACTATAATTTGCTTCTGTGCCAGCCCCACAGTCCCACATGCTAGAATAGCATATAGCTTTTTAGGTTGTTGGTATTATGTAGTCACAATAATGAAGCATCTCTTTATTTTCTTATTCTTGGTCCATTTGCTCTCTGCTGTGTTTTGGAGCTCAGGCTCTGTTTTACCACACAGGTGCCTATGTTGACATTATTTACTTTCTGTGTCCTGTTAGGAAAAATAAATGTGGTTTCTAATAATAATAATAGTTCAGAGTTAAGGCTCTACAGTCACACAGCTTAGATTTGAATCCCTGCTTTTCCATTCACCAGCTGGTTAGATTGTTGTTTGTTTTCTTGCAAGTAAAACGGGGATAATAGTACCTATCTTATAGTCCTGCTGTCAGGAGCACAGTAAATACTGCAGTACCTGTAACTTCTTTAATACATAAGACCTGCAACAAGTCCTCAGTATGTGTTGACTGTAATTATTGTAGTTATTTATTTTTTTGGTACTGTGGATTGAACCTAGGTTTGAGTAACCACTGAGCCATATCTCCAATCCTTTTTACTTTGAAACAGGGTCTTGCTAAGTTGCTTAGGGCCTTGCTGAGTTGTTCAGGCTGGCTTTGAACTTGTGATTATCCTGCTGCAGCCTCCTGGGTCTCTGGGATTTCAGGTATGCACCACCACACCTGGCAATTATAGTTATTTTAAATAAGGCACATCATTCTTTTTGTCACTGTGCCCATCTTACCAAATCTCATGTGATATTTATGAGAGTTCGTAAACTTTAGAATAGTTCATTGTAATTTTTTTTTGTTATTAACTTCCATGGATTACTGAGTACTTCCTCTACATTGATAATGTTTTTGGTTGTGTTTCATTTCCCAAGATTATTTACAATTAATCTAGTTATCTTTCTAAACTCCAAAGTCAGTTGAACACTTGCTTTAGGGCATACTCATCTAAAGGACCTGGATGTAGGGATGAATGTAACAAGACTCCAGTGATGAAGGGAACTCAGAATTTAGGATGATGAGGGTGGGAAAGAGGATAAGCAGAAACGTTTGCAGCTAAGTGTGTGAGGAGAAGCACAGGAGAAGATAGGCTAGTCTTTTGTAGAAGAAATAGCATGATCAGAGATCCAGAAACTTAAAAGTTTTTGAGGCATTGAAAGATGAAAAAAGGTGGGTTCAGGCTAGATTGTAAAGGGTCTTGGAAGATTGCAGAGAACTTTGGCAAAGGGGAGCCATAGATGGTTTGCAAATAGGGACATCTCATCAGAATTATGCTTTACAAAGAGAACAACAAAAACATGGGGATGCATTAGAAGGGGGACAGCCTGGAGGCGGTTAGGAAGTTCCTACAGTAAGCTTAGAGAGATGAGTGGAGTGGGGATGAGAGACAACTTGAGGGACATCTGGGATTTGGTTTGATTCAACAAATTATTAGTTTGTTTTCTAGTTCTGTGCCAGTTTCTGAGTTAGAAATACTAAGGAGAATAACTTATAGCTTTTTCTCTTACATATAGGATCTAGTAAGAGAAAAAGCAATAAAGGATGATTTTGAGGTTCCTCTTGGGTACATACATGTGTGATACTTCTGAGTTTATGGAACAGGGATGTGGTAGCAGATTTGAGAGGGGGAAAGATATTGAGTTGAGTTTTGAACATAGTTTAATTGTAAAGTTTGTAGCAGATATTGTTAGGGTGTTGATTACATTAATTG